GGGCACGGCTGCTCCGCGCGCGCGACGTGCCCGCTGCGCGCTCAGCCGGCCCGGGCCGACAGGTGGACGCGGCGCGGGTGGATCGGTGGGTTCGCCCGCTGGCTGGCCGCTCTGGGTGTCCTCTGCGGGTTTGCTAGCTGCTGCTGCTCCGGCTTTCTCTTTGCAAGGAGGCTGGAGGGTGGGCTTTTTCTTTTTTTTCTTTCTCTTTTGCGCGTATGTGTATGTGTGTGTGCGCAAAATATCTCTTTCGAGAATGAAAGATGGGCGCTGGCGGCCGGAGGGGAGCCCTCAGGGAGGCAGCGGGGGAGGCAGGCGGGCCGCTCCCGGCAGCAAGAGGAGAAGTTGCCACCCTTTCAGCTGTTCTGGCCTTTATAAAGGAGAAGGGAGAGTGCAAGAGGTGGGTGGAGACAGCCTTTCCTCTTCTGGCCCGGAGTCAGCGCCGGGAGGGGTGCAGGAGCAGAGGGAGGGCTTGGGGCTAGAACTGCTGCTTAGGGGGTCTCTGAGAGCCAGGCAGCCCCTCTGTCTGTGCATCTGGCCCCTAGGCAAGAACTGGAGGTGAACCACGGCCCCACCCCTTGGCACAGTGACCTTTAAGAGCCATGTGTTTAGGGCCATGTCTCCAGTGCCAGGTTAGCCCCAGCATCCTAAAATCAGAAATCTGCAGCCTATGGAAGGCATGGTGGTGAAGGTCCAGCTCTGCAGCCTGACTCCTTGGATTCATTTCCTGCCCTGGCACTGAGTAGCTGGGTCACCTTGGACAAGTCACTTTTCTTCTGAGCGACTCTACCCAGTCTCTAAGTGGGGATAAGGGTGTTGTGTGGATTAAGTGTCAGAATGGTCAGAAAGCACTCACACAGAGGCCAGCCCCAAGGTTGAAGGCTTCAAACCCACAGCGGGCATCCTTGAGCTGCAAGCCAGGTCTGCATCTCTTCCTCCCTGGTTGCCTGGCACACAACAAGTACTGCCAGCACGGGTTGAATTTGAATTTGTGGAACTGCAAAGTCACACAAACCCCCACAGTTCTGCGGTGTCCTCAGAAGGCTGCTGCCACCAAGATGCTGCAGTCACCCTGGTGTTTACTACCTCCCTCAACCCTCAGGTTCCAGGCCTGGGGCCTGCTCACCCACACCAGTACTCACACAGTTAACGCCTTCCACCCCCAGCTCAGGGAGCTGCTGTTGTGCCTGCCTTCAGCAGTCACACTGTCACAGTGACACAGTCACACGCATGCACTCCCGGCCCAGCACCCACCACAAGACCCGCAGGCTTACTGCAGCGCCTCCTGCCTTTTAGGGCACCTTGGCCTCATCCCACTTCTGCTGCCTGTCAGCCTGCTCCCCCATGCCCATGTTCTCACTGTGAATGGTGCTTCTGTCTCTTTGTGGCTCTCAGAGGGTGGTAGTAAACCAAGGAGGACCTCCTAGCTGGGCCTCTTTACACAAGGCCCCAGGGACCCAACCTCCCAGATGACTGACTAACAGAGTCGTCCAGTGGCTGGGAGGCAGCCTGGAGCAGGTGACCTCTGAGAAGGTTATTTAGCCTTTTGGTACCTTGATATCCTCCTTTGTAAATTGGAGCCATGTTTGGAGAGAAGGAGGAAGGGAGGAGTTTCGGAGGGACATGGGAAAGTCATAGGGGATAGAAGTATCTGTCATTTTTGTGGTGATGGGTTCACAGGTGTTTGTGTACACACACAAACACAAATGAAGGGGGCTGGGGAGACAGCTCAGTTGGTAAAGTGCTTGAGTGAATTCAGTCCCAGAATGTGGACAGACATAGTGGTATGTATTTGTAATCCCATCACTGGAGAGGTGGAGACTAGGGCTCCCTGCCCAGCCAGTCTAACCCAATTGATGAACTCAGGGCCAATGAGAGACCTTAGCTCAAGGAGGCAGACAACGCTTCTGAGGATGACACCCAAGGTTGTCCTCTGGCATCCACACTCACCCATACATTTTATTTTGTCAACATTTATTTGTTATTTTTTGTGTATGAGTGTATTGCTTGTGTGGGTGTAAGTACACCTGTGTCATGCATTGTTCACGGAGGGCAGATGAGATGGGGTGCGTTCAGGGTGGTATGGCAGTGTTCATGGAGGTCATAAGAGGGCATTGGATCCCTGGAACTGGAGTTACTGACAGCTGTTAACCACCATGTGGGTGCTGGGAATCAAACTCAGGTCTTCTGCGAGAGCAGCCAGTGCTCCTAACTGCTGAGCCATCTCTGCAGCCCCACACAATTTTTTAAAAAATGAAAACTGGGGCAAGCATGGATGCTGCCCAAGGGAAAAAGGGTTGTGGTTCTGGAAAAGGGGGGAAAGGAGGTATGCAGCCTCTGGGCTTGACAGTGTGACAAGAAGACTTGGGGCCCCAAAGGTGCTGGCAGAGCAGTAAAGGTCAGACACATTCTATGTAGAAAACATGGCAAAATGATGGAAGCCATGGAAAAATTAAAGTCTGGAATGAGATCAGTGGAGTGGGCACACAAGTGAAAATAAAGCCAGGCAAGGGAGTAACATGGATCGGGTGACCAGAGGGTCCATGGTGGGACCATTTCAGGAAGCAGCATTTGCCTTGTCTGTGAGTGGGATAGATAAGCCTGTGTTAACAGAACCTGCCAGTTCAGACATGGTGGTTATATTATGGTTGAAGGGAGAAAATAAAATCATATGAAAGACTGAGAAAGAAAAATAAAAACTGGTACGTGCTGGTTGGACCTCAGTACAGTGGAAGGGTTGGTTTTTGCCCTCCTCATGGAGTTGTTGGGAGCTGACCTAAGATGATCCTCCACAGCACAGGCCCTGCCTGGAAGACCCCACCCAGGACAGACAGATGCCTAATAGGTGCATTGGGGTATGAGGTGACAAAACGGGTTGTGGGGGGGGGGATAATCCATCATACTAGATTCCACGTCTAAAGACTTAAGGGATTTTAAAACACTTCTTCACCAGATAGTTGGGCAAGCTTGGCTTTGCCCTGTACCCTTACCTATGATACAGCCACCCTCGCACTGACCCTATAGGTAGCCTGTCAATGCTTCTGTGAGATAGATATATTAGTCCTGTCTTACCAGTGGGGAAACAGAAGCACAGAGCAACCTGCACAAGGTCATACAGCCTCAGTAAGTGGTAGAATCATGGCTTGGATCCCAGCAGCCCAGTTACATGGTCCACACGCTTAAACCACCATGGTATACTGTTTCCAGGCAGGTGGTAGAGGCGATAACAACCATGGCACTTTTTGCATAGGGTTTTTGGGAGTGTCTGATGCATAAGTACACATGGGGGTGCTTTGTTTCCTGAAAGGCACGCCCCCCCCCAGGAGCTCTGCCTCAGGGCACAGGTGAGGAGTGGGGCTGGGCTAGCCTTGAGCACCTCAGGCCTTGGGTGACACACTTAAGGAATGGAATAAGGAGGGAGACCCATGCTCTTCCCAGGCCTTGGGTGAGAAATGAATACCACCCAGATGTGGCTATGCAGGTTAGAAGTGTCAGGACATGAACCAGCAGAGGCAGGTGCCTGCAGGTACTGAGGCTTAAGTGCCATGCTGGAAGGACCCCTCTTTGCACCTCCTTGCAGGTGAGCATCTCTCAGTATAGCTCCTCCTCTTCCTCCCACCAGGCTTGGCTCAGCAGGTACCTCCTCCAGGAAGCCCTCCAGGCCTTGGTAGTTGCACTGGGTTGCCATAACATGTATCCCATAGTATTGTCTTGTTGCTCTTGTATTAGAAAGCACTAGATAGTTGAGAGTGAATGGAAACCTTGGCTCCAGTAGTTTCTCAGCTAAATAGCTCCTGGCACAACACATAAATGAGCAGGCATCTTGCCTGTTTCTTCCTCTGAGCCCCGGCTGGGCTGGTGCAGAGATGTCAAGCCCTCCCTTTCAGGAGAAAGGTATCATGCAAGACTAAACTCAGGCACAGGGAACCTGAGGCACACCATCCTGCCTTCCTCTTGTTATGTGGTGAATATTGAGGGGGTCAGACCTGGGAAGGCCTGGCCTGTCTCCTGCATTACAGTCACTGAGGAATTGGATTCTCTAGTCAGCTCAGGGTAAAACTAGGATGTGACCTTGGAGTGGAGACCACACCCCCACAGCCTTCCACCTTACTCTGACCAGTCTGAGTCTAGGGGGAGGGGGGCAGAGCTGAGTACTGGGGTGGCAAGAGAGAGAACTTTTCAGACTGTTCAGGGAAGCCTCATCCTTCAGCAAATCCACTGTACACCTGGATGTGGGGTCCTGGGACCTAACAGGAGCGAGGAATTGCCAAGGAGGGAGATGGGTTCCATTCCAGAGGTGATTCCCATGTCTGCCTAGACAGCTCCATCATCAACCATCCCTGGCAAGCTTTCCCCTGCCACAAATGGTCTGTCTGGCACTCCAGCTCCGGGATACATGAGAATTGTGCCCATGCCACATTGTGTGTGCACCATCCCCTGTGGAAAAGGCCTATGGCAGGTATAAAAGACCTCACTGCTTAACTTGCTTCACCTCAGAGCTACTAGGGAGTGAGAGAATGCTGTCACATATACCCAAGTAGTAAAACAGTAACCCCCCTTGTTAGCTTGAATGAATGAAAATGTCTGCAGAGTTGAAAGTGTAGTGTAGGCACTGCACAAATGCTGGTCATTATAGTACTTTAGAGTGCATGTAGACAC